CGGGCCGGGCGGGGGGGCCTTCCCGCGGCGCTGCCAGGGGACGGCGGGCTGCGACCGGGGCCTCTCCGGACAGGGCGGGGGGGAGCCTTAAAACGGGATTACAGCAAACTGGTTAAAGTCGGTGGGGTGCCCCTTCCCTCCTCGGTTATGCTGGTGATTAGAAAAGAAAAAGGAAGAGAAAAGAAAAAAAGTTGGTAAGGCGATGGGTGTCTTGTGTCTGGACCGACTCTACCCGGCAAGAGCCTTTACGTGATTCTTGGTGGCTGATAAGAAAGGAGAAAATGTAAGAGATGGTGGTGGTGTGGGTTCTTAGCCCCAGACAGAACAGTAAGAGGATTTGACTTTGTTTCTGCTGCATCAGCTTTTTTTTTGGCTTAATCTCCTGGAGAGATACATAAAGTAGAGTGCGCACAGGTGGGTATGGTTTTGTGAGATGTGCCTGGGTTTTGTGATGAGGCTTCTGTGGCAGGTTATCCTTGCTCCATGATTTTCCTTGCTCCATGATTTTCCTTGCTCCATGATTTTTTGATAAAGCAATGTGCTGCAAGAAAGTGCTGTTATAAAGGGTTTGATCAAGTGAAACATTATACACAAAAGTTTTAGAAGAAAGGGAATACTCCTTAAACTTTTCCAAGCAGTTTGTTTGTTTGTTTGTTTTCTCATAAGAACTCTGAAAAGAGGAACTAACTTTCAAAACGAAATAGACGCTCTTAGAAGTACTTGTATACCGCAGTGACCTCCCAGGGCTTACATGAAGGAGAAATCAAAGTTGTGTTCAGGAATGCAGTTTCCCAGCAGCACAGTTGCCTTCTGGTATGGCACGATTAGCTTGTCTAGGCCTGAAATACCACTTTTATTTTTGCATTGTTTTGGACAAAACTTAAAACTTCATATGGGTAAGATCCAACAGCCATAAACTGGGCACGCAGAGAAACAAAATTTCTTCCTCATACCAGTTTTTTCTATGTTATGATAATCTGTTCCTCTTCAAGGTAGTCTGTATGCTGCAGAGGCTTGAGAGTGCTGTGGAAGCCTGTGATTCCAGTGCTGCTGCTGCAGAGAAATACTCGGATGCTCACAGCTCCTTATGGTTCATTTCATGTAACCATGTTGCTATACCAGAGCTACTGAAATCAAACTAACGTGATGCCATCCACAGCTATTGACACTTATCCTCCAAATAGTGTAACTGTGTTAAGGCAGTGCTGTGCCCGGACTAAAATACCAGCTTTTCAGCAGTTCCTTTTCTTTACTAGCTTCAGTGAAAAAGACAGTTGTGTCTTCCAAATGCTGGGTTTTGAAGTCAGTGGGAGGCTGTGAGTTTTTTCTATAGGATTTCCAAATTCTTAAATGTCAAATACTGACATTGAAGAAAAAGGGATTTTCAGTTCCTCTATGGGCATAGATGCCACCAGTATGTCATCTGTAGCTGCTCCAATCTCTCCTCGAAAATAATCTTAAAAGGAAAACTATTAGATTGTTTCTGAAACCCTTCTATCCTGGCCACTTTGTGATGGGAACACAATGGTCAACCTCAGCATTCAGAATACTTGTGACCCCTTCCTTTGGGGCCAGCATGGCTCTGTGTTTGCCTGCTGGTGACTGCAGATGAGCTGAGTAGAAGCTGAAAAATTCACCGTTTGGGCTTGTTGCTCTCACAGGGATGAATCCAACAAAAGTCTTGCCTGTGTTCCCTTCCATCTCGGATACAGTAGGTCAGGATGGCTTAACCTCTGCAGTTCCTATTTTAAGACAAGACCTTTTTTCTGTGACAGTCACTCCAGTCTGTCAAGTCAGAGAACTACCAGGTGGTTGCTTTCTCCCCTTTTCCGTGAACTCTCATCCCCAATAGTTCCCCGAAAGTACTCCTGTCTTGCTGAGGTTGTCATTTGTCATGTCACCAGTTCTGTGGTTCCCATCATATGCTCTTACGTATGGTAGTTCGTGCAGCCTTGGCTCCTTCAGCTTCTCCTAAACAGAATGGGAAACTCTAGCGTAAAGTTCCCAAGCAGGTGACATCTGCTCTGCCTGGGCTTGATCATGTCATGCTCACATATGTGTAGTTCTGCCCCATTGCACTGTTTCTGCGGAGCTTTTGACAGCATGATTAGCAGGCAGACTTCCTTTACTCTCCCTTTGATTTCTGCAGCTTCTGTCTCCTTCAAGGTTTTGGCTACCAGCGCTCACTAAAGATTTTTGATGGCCTCCTTTGTTGTTTGCTCTTCAGGCTCATAGTAAGCTCCCCAGCAGCCTGCCCTCCCTTCTCAAATAAGCATAACCCCTTATGAATTTTGATTGTCCTCTATTACAACAAAGCTTTGGGCAGAAGCAAGGCCTGGGCAGGATGTGGAGTGAATGTGTCCAGTGGGAATGTGGGCAGAGCCAGGCACGGCTTGGCTGCCCCCTCCGAAACGCTGTGGTTACAGCCCGGGCGTGCAGCTTGGCTCAGCCTTTTCTTCTCCCTGGAGCCAGATACCCTTTGACCCGTCGCTGGTTGCCTGCTTTTAATAATGCACTGAGCCCTGCAATGAGAATTGGAGCTTGCAGTCTGCAGTTCACTGTGGTTTTTTGTTTTTTTATCCCCCCCCTCTGGCTCCTTTCTGTGTGGTTTTCCTATGCTATAAATGTAATCACTGAAATTAAGAAAAAACAAGACTTCGCCCTCTGTATTAATAATGCAGCCCCCTTTTGAATGCTGCTTCAAAACTATAGCAGAGAAAGCTACCTTTAGTACAGATTTAAAAATTCTGTATAATTTTTAGAATTTCCCAGAAGATAGTAAGAATGACTGAATGATGGAAAAAAATAGTCATTTACATTTAAGAACAAATGCTCAAAGCTAACTTTTTTGTGTGTGTGTGGCACTAAAGTTTGAAAGCTAATGAAATGCAGGGGATCAGCAGCAGTGGATGTGGGAATCATTTGTATTTTATAACAGTTTAGAACAAAGTGTCTATTCGGTCATCTTTATGCTGTTCTTCTAATATGGCTTGTTTTTTGTTGTTGAATGAGAACTTTGATCCCGATGTTTCTTTAAAGCCTTCAGCATCTTTTTAAAGATTGCCACAGGATTTCCCAATTTACAATAATTGCAGTTTTTCAGCACATTTCTGGCAGATAGGAAGTGGAACAAGACTGGTGCTTGCTGAGTGTTTTACTGGTATGTGAAGTCCAGAGGCTTTTGATCATTATGGAAAAACTTTTTATAAGTGTAGTTTCTTGCATGTGTAGTGTACTTGACTGAAGGGTATATGAAGTTGTTCTCTCAGACTGATAGCATTGAGGCTGGACTGAGTATTTGGATAATAATAACTTCGGTAAAAATTGCTTTTAAAATATAAGTAATTGAACATAATATTCTAAATTAATTGACCAATAAGAAAGTAAGATCTCTGGAGCAATCCAGAAGTTAATGTATTAATAAATATATATTTTCATAATGAAGTAAAAAAGATCAATGCGTTGTTTAAATATATTATTCTTATATGTAGTATACTATAGTTCTTGTTGATATTAATCTAAAATACAGCTTTATAGATATTCTATGTAAGTGCAGCAATAAGAAAAAAAAAAGCACTGATGTATTGCAACAGTGAAAGAGTTAGCAATAAAGGACTTAAAATTAATTCCGAGTGCATAGTGGCCTGCTGCCAAGGCTATTTAGGAACAGATGTGGCTGAAATAGATACCAATAGTCTGTTTGGGATCTCTAAAGTAAGACATCTGTCAGTCTATCGGTCAGTTAGGAATAATGGAAATGGGAACTGGCTGTTACAAAATGTGAATTACTGAAGTTCCATGTTGGTCAAATTCAAAGCATTTGATTCTGACATGTAGAGAACATAATTTCTCTAAGTAGCTTATCTATTGTCCAAATAGGAAAACTATTTTTAGGGGGGAGACATAAAAATAATCTGAAGTGTAACTAAGAGTGACTATGAGATTAATATATGATTTTAAGATGTAAATTGAAGGAAGAAAGCATGTAGTTTTAAATAATCCCATGGTGTCTGAACTCATAAGACACTCAAATTTTTTTCAAGGAAGTCCATAAAATTAATGTCTTTTATATAGATGCTGCATGAAACTGCAAAAGAATTTATTAATTTGCATCTTTCTGTGAAGAATTAAAAACATTTAATTGAGTATATTAATTAAAGGTCTCTTAAAACTTGTTCTTTATTTCAGGTGACTTCTAGACATAATGTCTTGATTCTCTGTGTGTCTTTTATCCTTTATCAGCATATCAATTTATGGCTATGTGTTTGTGGAACAATTTACATTATTTCATGCTTTCTGGTATTTTTCTTGTATTTCACATCTTTATGCACCTCTCTGCTTATGTTGAAAGGGATTAACATACCCTGGGCATCTAATAGTGGCTTTTGCATGTACTTTAATTCTCTGCCTTCAAAGAAAGAGATCAGATATTTTTATCTTCCAGAGAATAGGTTTCTGTGCTAGGTCTTGCAAATTGTATTTGTGTGTGTTTGGGTTTACATACATGTTAAGTGAAGTATTAACATCATACCTGTTAAATCACGTGTGTTAATGAGTTGCAGGGAGCTACGTGAGTTTGAAATAACAAGATTTATTTAGCTTTCACACAATGTTGTAATTCGTCTTTGTGGCCTTTTCTTTTTGACGCAAAACTCTTTCTGTTGGTGATATTGTGGTTTGTGTGACCTTAAAGCTCTTGTAGGCCATAAAATGGCAAGTTTTGAACTTGCCTAAAGGTGATGGGTTTGGTTTCAGTGGTTGGGTGGATTTTTTTTCTTCATTTCTCCTGTTGCACTGTTTAATAATTGCACCTTGCCGTGTACTATTATAGATAAAGGGGTGCTCTGCTTTATTGGTCTCCTCTGCCTGCCTGGCGAGAGAGGGATGGTGGCTGGATGGGTGCTTGGTGTATCATCAGGCAGTTGGCACACCAGTAACGAGCCAGATGTAGCTGGAGCTGTGTTTTGGCTGAGGAGCAGCCCAATTGAAGAAAGGCAGGTTGCAATCAAGGAGCAATCAAGAATACTGCAGTTGGGGGTGAGCTGATATATTATGGGAGTATAAGGGTCTTGGTGAAGTGCCACGGGGGTGTGGGAGGGATTTGTGGGTTCTATGGAGAGGGATATTAGTGAACAGAGGGGACACTGAAGCTGTTGCTGTAGTGTGTGAGATATGCATGATACAGGGTAGGGAAATCCCTAGAAAGTCAGAGGAGACATAATAAGGTGGTGAGGTAAAGAAAGGCTGGATGCAATTTTGTTAAAAAAAATTTAAAAATTCTCAAACTTCCACAGAAGAATCCTGTTCACAGAATAATTGCCAACTCTTTTGTCTATGCTTTCTGTGCAAAGGTACGCAAGAGTAAATTGATGGTTTTGCTTATATACCATGATAGAATCCACAAGTGCATATTAAAAACACATTGATATACTAAGCAATCTTTGATGTCCATGCTAGTGCTGTTTTCAGGTCCATGATAGTGCTAAAGGGCTAAAAGATCCTTCCTCAGTGTCAATCAATCTTCTTTTTAAATCATTAAAAACAGAATGCAGGCAAATCCTTTAAGCTTAAATCTTATATCTCAGTTTTCAAATTGTCCTGTTCTTCAGCCTTCTTTTTTTTTTTTTTTACTACTCTTTCATATTCTAGATGCTGTTGTAGTCTTTTCTTGATTGTCATTTTACCATATAATCCCTGAATTTGTACCCCTCTACTCTGCACCTTTACATCTCTTCTGTTGTATCAAATATTGCCAAATTAACTTGACTTCCAAGTATATTTTTTTGGAAAATGCATAGTTTCATTCAGCCAGTCCCTTCCATTTAGAAGCAGTGCTCTATAAACATCCAAGAAGCCATATAATTCCTGAAATCCTTTCCTAATTTTATGGGGGTTTTGTAATGTCTGCAGGAAACAAATACAAAACCTGATGAATAGCCTGGCCACTCAGAATCTGAGACTGCTGCCCACTTTGTCTGTAGCTGTTTCTCTCCTTGGATGGCAGAACATGCAGAATGTGGTTCTGTAGCACGTTGTGTGAGTTAGTTGTGGGCATCGTGGTGCCTAATTGGGTCTTCTGCTACAGTAAATCCATAAAAACT